GAGCGGCGTCCCTGCCGGGGGAGGGGAGCATCTCGGGGACCAGGGGGCGGGAGGAAGGGCTGCTGCTCCCACCCGGGAGGGATCTAGGGAGACGGGGCAGGAAGGGGTGCGAGTCGCCGGGGCTGGGTCATTGCGGGGCTCTCGGCCGGGGTCGCAGAGGGGCTCCTGCTCCCACGGAGCCTGAGCCCCTTGCGATGGGGAAGCCTCCCTTGGGGTCAGGAGAGCGAGGGGGTTCCCGCTCCCAGTGCGGGAGGGGAAGATGGGGCCTCACCACCCACAGCGTTCGCCTCAAGCCTAGAGGCTTTGAGGACCCAGAAGTTTCCCTGCGATGCGACGACCCCTGCAGGCCTGGCCGGATGGCGGCCAGGTCAGGCCAAGGCTGGGGAGTTTGAGTTTGATGGGTTCCCGAGCCTGGCGGCACCTGGGTGGGTGGCCCAGCACGCGTCCTGAGAGGGGTGCCGGGGGCTTGGGCCACCTGCCCCTCCCCAGCTCCGTTCCCTGCGCAGGGGCTGCTGGCTGGTTGGTGCTGGAGCTCGCGCTGTGTCTGTCTCCTGTGCGGAGTGACTGTGGCCGGCGTACCCAGCCTCTGGGCCTGCTTTCCTCCTGCAGGCTCTTCCCTGTGCCCAGAGCATTGATGAGTCTGAGCTCCAGGAGAATTCCTTGAAGCTATTTCTTTCATTCTGACTACATTGTTCAGGACAAATGGAGGCCCCAAGTGCAGTTACAAAAAAACAAAACAAAAATGGTTTCTGTTCGATTTTGGAAGGTATTTTCTTTAACTGCATTGGGCTGAGTTGGGGAACTGGTTTGCATGCAGGGAGGTGACCCAGTTGCTGCCAGCCAGGGATGAACACTTGGCTTGTATAATCTGTGGCCACCCACTGGCTGCCTGGGAGTTGACCACCGAGGATGAAGGGCAGGAGAGCTGGGCTTAGAGTGAGGTGGACGGGCTGTGCTCTGCCATCCCCGAGGAGCTGTGACACCTGCTTAGATGCAGGTTGAAAGGGTTGCAAACAGCAAGTGACTGTAAATTATTAAAGTTCTTTGTAAACAGCGAGCGACTGTAAATTATTAATCCTAGTGCCCAACCGTATTAACATTTCAGGCTGTGTCATACATGTCATCCTTGTCAGTGTGGTTCTCAACCTTCTGGCCCTTTAAACACAGTTCCTCATGTTGTGACCCAACCATAAAATTATTTTCGTTGCTACTTCATAACTGTAGTGTTGCTACTGTTATGAATCGTCATGTAAATATCTGATATACAGGATGGTCTTAGGCGACCCCTGTGAAAGGGTCGTTCGACCGCCAAAGGGGTCTCGACCCACAGGTTGAGAACCGCTGCTCAAGAGGGTTCACCTCTGACAACCCCAGTGTGAACTCAGGTCTGGCCTTACTGTTATTTGTACTTAATGAGTTTAAACTTTGCTTTCCATGGCAAGTTAAGGTTGTCTTTAAGGGAGTGTGCTGAACAATCAGAGCCTAGAAAAGCAACAATACCTTTGAACCTTGAACAAGGAGGGGATTGGGGGATTGCCCACCCCCAGTCAAAAATCTGCTTATAAACTTTTTTTTTTAAGTTTTTTATATATTTTATTGATTTTTTACAGAGAGGTAGGGAGAGGGATAGTTAGAAACATCGATGAGAGAGAAACATCGACCAGCTGCCTCCTGCACGCCCCAACTGGGGATGTGTCCGCAACCAAGGTACATGCCCTTGACCGGAATCGAACCTGGGAGCCTTCAGTCTGCAGGCCGACGCTCTATCCACTAAGCCAAACCGGTTACGGCTGCTTATAAACTTTTGATTCCCCCCAAAATTTAACTACTAATAGCCTACTGTTGACTGGAAGCTTTACCAATAACATAAACAGTTGATTAGCACGTGTTTTTTATGTTATATGTATTATATACTGTATTCTCATAATAACAAGCTAGAGGAACAAAAATGTTATTAAGGAAATCATAAGGAAAATACATGTACGTACTGTACCTATTTATTGAAAAAGCCCTTGTGTAAATGGACCTGCACAGTGCCAACCTTGTTGTTCAAGGGCCAACTGCATTTTGCATACCAGGAGGCAAAAGAAGAAGTGGAATTATAACCAAATAATATTTATGAATGGGTGTTTTTTAGGTAGGCTCTTCAACTCCAAAAGGTCAAGAAATTAATATCCTCAGGTGTTGCCCTTAACTGTTAATTAGCTGGGCTATTATTCGATGAGGGTGGTATTTTAACTGCTTTGTTCATGTGAAAGCTCCAGGCCTGGCACACAGTAGGCCTAAAACAAAGGTTGGTATGTCTCCGGGACTGAAGGGCCCTTTGAAGTTACCGGTGAAGTCACTCTCCTTGACATTTGGAGAAAAAGAGCCAAGAGGGGAATGGACTTGTCCAAGGTCACACAGGGATCGAGTGGCCGAGCCAGGAGTAGAACCCAACAAAAACAGTGGCGCCCAGGCTGTGCCAGGGCCAACACCCAGCATCCGTGGCTATTTCGCTCTTTTGCTTTTGCAAGAGCCCTTGGGGTGGTTAATTGTTAGTCTCTGATTCTAAGTGAGGAAAGCAGGCTCAACTATTTCGCTCTTTTGCTTTTGCAAGAGCCCTTGAGGTGGTTGTTAGTCTCTGATTCTAAGTGAGGAAAGCAGGCTCAGAGAGGCAAGTCACACAGCTGCTAAGTTCCAGTCTTGAGACCCAGTTTTCACACGAAAGTGGGGGCCTGGCTTCTTTTGAACTAGTCTGCTCAGGTGAGTGGTGGACACCCTCCCTTGGGGCAGCAGTTCTCTCAGTCACCCCCCGGGGTGGCTTCTGTCTGGGCTGGATTTTCCTAGGCCCTTGGGCATTTGGTCTGTTGGGTTTGTCAGGCAGGCTGCTGTCTGCTTCATTCACCATGTGCTCCAGCCCTGGTGGTGGTCCTTGTGCCTGGCGTACAGCAGGCACTGAGTAAAACCTGTGGGATGGGTATAACCTGGCGCTCTCCCCCTCCAACGCCCATTTACTACCTCTCCCCACACCTGGTCCTCTTTTTGTCCCCAGAGGCCTTAAGAGACTCTTTGATGGTATATCTGGTGGAGAACCCCGAGGAACAGAGGGTAGCAAGCCTTGGTTGAGGAGTGAGGCGAGGAGATTGACCTTCAGTTTAGGAAAAGGGGAATGGGAATTGGGAGGGCTGGGGAGGTGGGAGGGAAGAGGCGAGAGGAGCTGCTCAGACTGATAGGAACTCCACTAGGGCCCCGGGATTTCAGTTCTGAGGCTCTGCCAACCTGAAAGCCTCCCAAACTTGCAAGACATGCCCGGCCAGGCCACATGCCTTTTGGATTACCTGCTAGCACGGTTTCCCTCCTTGATTCTCTCTCCTGCTTGTTCAGGGATGGGGCTGCTGGGGCTGTGGGGCTGCAGCCCTTCCCTGGGGGTTGCACTTCCCAGCCACCCCTCTTGGGCCTGTGGGCCACATATAAGTCTTCAGGCCTCTGTGAATCTGGAGGGGTTACTCTGAATGGTCTTTGCTGAGAACAATTTATTTAATAAGGTCAGTGTCCCAGAAGTCCAAACTCTAGCCAAATTTCAAACTCCAACCAAATTTCCCTGTCTCTAAATGTACCCTCAGAGAAAGGTAAATATTTAAAGAGACACAGTTAACTTTCTAACGGCCCCAAATCCAGTGGAACCAGCGATTGAGAGCTAAAAGAGGACTGAGTTTTTTGTTTTATCCATCTTCACCCCAGGATATTTTTCCATTGATTTTTAGAGAGAGTGGAAGAGAGAGGGAAAGACAGAGCCTGCAACCGCTATTAATAATAATTAATTACTACTACTATTAATAATTAATAACAATAGCAGTCACTTATTGAGTTCCTAAAATATGCTAAAACTTTGTTCTAATAAATTTAATTTTTCCAGCAGCCTATAAGGTAGATATTATAATTGCCATGAGGGAGCTAAGGATCAGAGAAGGTAAATCACTTGTCGTGGGTCACAGTTACTATGTTGTGGAATCAGGAGTCAAACTTAGTTTGTCTGAATCTGAAGTCCACTCATGAGCCTTTATAGTATCTGCTTTTTATTCCTAACTTCCTTTTATTCTGAATTAGAGGCCAGGTGCTCGAAATTTGTGCACTC